CTCTTTCAGTCTCAGAAGTATGATTCCAAAATCAGACCGTTAGGTCCCAACTCCCTTTGAAGCTATGGGAGTGAGAGAAGGGAAAAGGAACTTCGATCAGTGGGAGGTGTTTGGATAAGATCAAAATCATGGTTTTAGTACTTTTATGGTATACAAAGTAAATATGTAGAGAAATTTGTCTCGATTTGCAGAAAAATGTTTCTGAAAAATGCTTAATGGGCTTCCCAAACACCCCCAAATCAAAGATCTCAGCAAGCAAACCATGTAGTAGCCAAGGGCAAAACCGAGAAGATCTACGCGTTGATTATACCGTTTTTATATTTAAATTTCTTTATCATTGTACATAATTTTATAATACCCAGCCAGTGATTTTTCTTTCATAGTATATACGAAATTGTTTCAATAAACAAGAGACACTTGGCAAATTTGAATCGGTATAAAGGCTGTAATTGTCAATGACATCTCCATTCTAATACATTCTCTTGGACATGTTTTTAAGCACATAAATTATTAAGGATGTTGTAAAAAAAATTTTGTTTGTTTTGGCATTAAGACTACGTAGATATACTCCCATTGGCCTGGTCTCCTCTGGATCCTTATCCATTTGCCCAACCATTGACTTATTAAATACCCAACAATAATTTTCTTTTTCTTGTTTTAACAGAGACTATCTAATTTCTTTTTTTTTTCGATTGAGACAAAAACGAAAACAAAACTGTCCAACTACATCAGAAAGAAGAAAAGTGGAAAGAAAGTCAGGCGGTGTACTAAAGAAGACAGCTCCCGCAGCAATCTGAGTGGCCTCCTTCGCTAACGCATCAGCAGCTCCATTCACCTCTCTACTACACTAGTCTAACATAACAGACCAATCTCTTGTCATCCATTCCTGAATCTCCGAAAGTAACTGTTGCTCATGGTGATCTTCGGTCCAGCCATGAGCTATCAAGTTCGTCGCCTCCCAGCAATCCGTTTGTATCACTATTTGTCGCCAATGCATATCCCAAGCACGCTTCAGAGCCCATGCAATACCCCAAAGTTCTACATGAAGACTAGAACCCCTCCCAAGATTGCACATGAACCCACCAAGAAACATACCGTCGTGATCCCGAGTAAGGCCTCCGCACGCTGCTACCCCTGTACCCTGTACATAAGCTCCATCAACATTAATTTTAATAACTCCCACGAAAGGTGGCACCCACCATCGATCTTGTCTTCCTCTAGTGAACAGCTCACTCACTCCCGTATTCGCCCACGCCACCATCGCACCGGTCCTACACAGCACTTCCTGGTACCCCACTGCCTTCCCGTAAAAAATCCCAGCGTTTCTATTCAACCAAATTTGTCTACACAACACCCCAAACCAGATGTTCCATTTCGCATTATGCACCATGGCTGTTTGACCCAAGTTCCATTGCACCCATGCCTCTACATTCCCTAACGTAAAGAACCTGCCCCAAAATTGAGATGGCATCAGACTCTCCCAGCACTTTCATGCGATAGAGCAATCACAGAGGGCATGCAAAATATCTTCCATATGGTGCCTGCAAAGACCACACGATGCGTCCGTCTGCATTCCCCTCTTGGCTCGCGAGTTATTAGTCATAAGACGACACTGCACACACAACCAAAGAAACATACGAACTCTTTGAGGCACTTGAAGTTTCCACACCTTGCACCAAACCCCATGGTACCTATTATTGTGACTATCAGACACCAAAGAGTAAGCTGACTTGACAGTAAACTCACCACTGCTGTGCAACCGCCAAACAGGTACGTCTTCATCATTCTTATTAATAGTAGGATAAGCTCTACTAATATCCTGCAATATGCTCGTAGGGAATAAGGATCTCAGCCTGTCCCACTGCCACCCCCCAGACTCAGAAATATACTTCTCAACCCTCTCTTCAAGTATGTCCGACAGTATAGGGCCTATCGCGTAAGCCTCCAGAGCATCATAATGAGGAACCCAACAGTTCGTCCAAAACTTCACACTCCTCCCGTTACTGATTCGCCAACCTATCCCACCCATAGTCTCCTCCCAAGTATTTCGAATACCCCTCCATGCTTGAGAGCCACCTCTTCTGGCACTTATCTGGGGAATCAACCCGTCCCCACACTTATACTTTTCGCGCAAGAAACGAACCCACAATGTGTCTTTCTTCTTAATGAGGCCCCATCCCAACTTCATTAAAAAAGACGCATTATTATCCCAGGATCTTCTCAAACCTAGCTCGCCAACCTCCTTCCTTGTACAGACATCTTCCCATGCCACCAAATGGGTCCTCTGTGCCATAGGAGTAGTTCCCCAAAGAAAACTACGGCATTTCTTATCTATTTCCTGACAAGTAGCCATAGGAAGCAAATTAGACTGCATCGTATACGCCAGAATAGCAGACACAATAGAACTAACTAAAGTATGTCGTACAGCCAAAGACAAACTATTAACCTTCCACGTTGTAAGCCTCTGATCCATTTTCTCCAAAACATACTGATACGTCCTCTTAGTAACCTTTTTATGATGAAGAGGCACCCCTAGATATTTCCCCAGATCCGCTGTAGGAGTAAATCCCAACAACGCACTGATTTCCTGTCGGCGATTATGGCACACATTGCTTGAGAAGTAAATTCTAGACTTCGCATTATTCACTTTTTGACCTGAAGCAGAACAAAAATCATCTAGACAAGCCTTCAGTAAGCCGGCTTGACATAAATCAGCTTCCGCAAATAAAAACAGATCATCTGCAAAGAATAGATGCGACACACCCGTTCCTGACTGAGATAAACGAAACGGAAGCCAGTGTCCCAGTTGAACTTTGGACTGAATAAGATGAGCTAACCTCTCCATTACTAACACAAAAAGATAAGGCAAGATGGGATCCCCTTGTCTAATGCCACGTTCTAGCATGAACGTTGGCCCAGTAGACCTATTCCATAAGACCTGCATGGATGCTGACCTCAAGCAATGAGAGACTACGTTAATAAAGTTCCCAGGTATTCCCAACTCTCGCAGAACATTAATAATGAAATCCTAGCAAACTCTGTCATAAGCTTTTTCGAGATCAATCTTGATAGCCATAAAGCCTTTTTTCTTCTTCATATTCCTCATTGAATGGATGATCTCTTGTGCTAGAATGATATTATCTGAACTCTGTCTCCCAGGCACAAAACTACACTGATTCGGACCCACCACATACGGTATAACCTTCTTCAACCTATTAGCCAGGACCTTTGTTACTACCTTGTAAATGACATTGCATAAGCTGATCGGCCTAAATTCATGAAAGTTTTGAGGTGTGTCAACCTTCGAGATTAGGACAATATTAGTTCCATTTATACGCTCCACTTTGCTCGGACACGAAAAGATTGCCTGTACCATCTGACATACGGAGGCACCTACCACTTCCCATTGACTTTGATAGAAAAGAGGATTCAATCCATCCAGACCTGGTGCTTTAAGCACGCCCATCGTAAAAATAGCATTCCTCACCTCCTGCTGAGAAACCTCCACCCCCAGCATGGATGCATCACTCTCGGATAACTTGGGAAAAGTGGCCCCAAACTGAACCATGTCATTATACACCTGGTCTTTCTGGTATAGGTATTGGAAAAATCTAGATCTTGCTCGTGTTAGCTCCTCCCTATCGTAACACCACTCCCCATCTTCCAATTTAAGGGCTTCAAAATTCTTCCTTCGTCTATTAGCATTTGTAACGGTATGGAAATATTTTGTGTTGCAATCCCCATGATAGTACCAGTTACATCGCGACCTTTGAAGCCATATCAATTCCTCCTGGTGAAGTATTTTTTCTAGTTCAAACCATAGATTTTGCTGTTTCGATTCCCAATATTGTCCTGACCATGCCGCACTACTAGATGTTTCCAAATCTTTTAAAATAGAGGCTTTCCTCCTTTGTATATTTCCAAACACACATTTATTCCATTCCATCGAAGCGCTTACAAAGTTTGTTATATTCTCCTCCCATCGCTTATCCACTCGCCAAGAATCCCTGACTAACTCAGAAAATTTTTCATGTGGGACCCAAGGAGCAAAGAAGCAGAACGGTCTTTCCTTATGCCTACTTTTAACACGCGCATCAATTCTCAAGAGGAGAGGACAATGATCAGATTTAAACTTGGGGAGATGGAGCACCACTGCGTTAGGGAAGGCTTGAAACCATGTCGCACTAGCCATACAACGATCAATACAACTATAAGAACGGCCGCGATTCCAAGTAAAACGTGGTCCTTGATAAATAACATCTCCCGCTCCTGCGTCTTGAGCCCATTGTACAAACTGTTTATCTGGTCCTCTATGCGTCGTCGCTATTGAACTCTGCTCATCATAGCGAAGCACTGCATTAAAATCTCCTCCAATACACCAACGCGTAACCCCATTGTTTTGAATGTCCCGTAATTCCTTCCACAACGTACTTCGAACCATATGGTTAGGGTGGCCATAAACAACTGAAAAATCCCAACTCCTGTTCGTCCCACCATTCATCACCCCATGCAGCACTTGAGAATACTTCTGGGTAATCTGGAATTTAACGTTTGCATCCCAAAAACACCAAATACCCCCACTAAATCCGTTAGACTCCACACCCTCCATGTGTTGAAACCCCAGTCTCTTCGCCAATGCCCCTGCCTTTTCTATTTTTTGCCTAGGCTCAAGAATAGCCAAAAAATCAAAATGATACCTTTTGCGCAACTCACACAATAATCTGATGAAAGTCTTCCCACCCACACCACGTGAGTTCCATATTAATATGCTGAAATCCATAACACTACAAGAGAAGAGAAATGACAGCCCACAATGCTTACTTTGATCGAGGATGAGTTTTGGATACTCTATCCTTGCCCAACGCCACCTCTCGTCCTATAGTCGCAAGAGGATTCGTCCGGATGCACAAACCATGTTCCTGCTGTGCACCTGGGTCCAACAAGTCATCATCCACATGCATCACATCCACTGTATCATTTAAATTCAACATCTCCTTGTTCTAGTCGTCTTCTGCTCCCACCTGCAGGTCACGTTCATCTTCCAACAAGTTAGCCACTTCACCAATACTTTCTTCAAGCTTCTCACCTAGCCCAGCTTTCTGTTTAATTACTAAAAGATGGCCCATTGTAGATTCGACAGCTGTCCGTTTTATTTTTTCATTTGATGGGCCCATTCTCTGCGCAGCCTTTAGATTATCTTGTTCCTGTGGCCCACCTACAAAGCCCATTCCCTTTTTCAAATCTTTTCCTACTCCTCTAACTGAATCTCTGTCATTATGCACTGTATTTGTGGAATCAGATCTCACAATAACGGCTGGCACATTATTCTGCATGATCTCCGCCTTCTCCTCGCGAACGTCCTTCAATACCGCAAACCGAGATCCTCCTACAATTTCGCTCAACTGCCGAGATCTCCTCCTTCCATCGTTACCGTTTTCCTCCGCCATGCCAGGTCGCCGGTTCCGGCAAGGTCGTTGGACAATCATCCATTGATTAAAACTCGGTCCAGTAGCACTTGTAGTCTCAGCCGTATCTCCTCCTTTAGGTTTGTCGCTGTTAGTAACTGCACTTTTCCCCGACCCTCCTGCCTCCTGCGCATCCTTGCCTTCTGTCTGCCTATGGGTACAGTGCTCAGCATCGTGTCTATAACGTCCGCATGAGAAGCATATGAGATGGATCCCCTTGTATTGTATTCGTTTAGCTTTTCTGTTTACCAAAATCAGAGGATGCAATGGTACGTTAAGATCCAACTCAACACATATTCGAGCAAAGCGACCCTTCTTACGTTTTGCCGTATTCAGATCCACTTTCAAAACACGTCCAATTTGCGACCCTAACACATGCAAGACACCGTGATCATAGTAGTCTAGAGGCAGATTTGCGATTCTGATCCAAGCTGAAATTTTCGTGATTCTCTCCTCATCTGGTTCAAAGTCGGCCTTCCATGGCTGCACACACAGGTAATGGTCATATAACAACCACGGTCCTCCCGTCAGTGCCATCTCGTAGTCACTCTCATGTGCAAAGTTCACCATAAAAAAACCCACTCCAATGTCAATCGTGTCCACTGACCCATGCTTAGCCCAGAGTTGATGAAGTTTCATTGCTAGGTATACCGGGTGCACCATACGTCCCAGTAGCTTAACTATAATCACCTGCTTCCACCTCTTCGCTAGCCGCTCCTGCTCAGTCGGAGGGATGATCACATTCGGCCCCATCGGCGTCATCTCTACTGTTATCCTTTCCTTCCACCGTCCATCGCTCCACCAGTCCTCTTCCTCTACCTTCTCTTCAGTCTTCTGCGTGAATGCCTCTTTAAACGAAGCCCACCTCATCGTATCAGTAACCCCTGTTCCCACTTTCCCTTGTTTCTCCTCACCCGTGCCCTTTCCTTTATCTGTGTCCAACGTAACGATCATTGTAGCTGTCGAATTTGGGATGGTTGTTTCTTAATTTCTTCAAAGCCTCTTTTTTTTAATTTTCGTTCTTTTATAAATATGCAAATATGTTGGGTCAAAAAAGAATTTGTCATAAACCAATCCTGAGTTGTTTCTTTCCATGCTAAGCAAACTTTCAAGGTCAGTATATGCTGATATTAAGATTTTATATATAAAATAAAGCGTGTAGAGTAGAATAATATTGATAATGATAATTGTAACTCAGGTTTTGCCAAAACTTCTTCAATATTTTCTTTGATTTCTCTTGTTTTCTTCCTAAAATCATCGAGTTGAATAATATTTTTGGTTTTTAAGCAAAAAAAAAAAGTAATATTAATTAATATGATCCGTATTAACGCCGGTTATTCTTTAAATTCCGTACAAAATAATATTATTAATACTTTCATATATCCGGGTGAGTGTGTTAATAAACCGGTGACTTTTATGTGCAAATTTTCCACATTCGTTAATTTTCACCAGTTAGATGTGACATTATGAAATGAGTTGCATTATTTTTTTATAAATTATATAGTGTAATTTTTTTTATAGTTATTAGATATTAATTTATAATTTGATGTAATAAAAGCATTTGATTAAAATTTCGACTTATTTTTCAAAATTCAAAATCTTAATACCTTTTTCTACTATAAATTCATGACATGATAACCATATATTTAGACCAATCAATATAACATTATTTTTTTGAAAAAACATAGAGTATAAAGATTGAAATTACGTTGCGGATGATATTTTATTAACAACTGATGGAATATCCTTCATTATAGAACTTGAAACACATACCAAGTCATAAACAAGACGCGTACGGGAGAAACACCTTAACACCAGAAATTAGTACATGAACTTAGCTTTGACGCGTTCGTACGTACATAGTGCTTTAATTTACTGAATTGAAGCACCATCAACTATTAATCAACAAGTATATTCTTGGAAATTTGCAATACCTGATTCGTTTGAAAATGAGTAGGATATAAAGTTATGAGATCTGAATATATTTAATTAATAAGATTTAAATAACACCTTGATTAAGATTTGAATAGATTGATTAAATGGAAAACATTATAAATAAATGCAATTTTAAATGGAGGCTCAAATGAAAAAAAACTAATAATTAATTTTGAATTTGAATAATATTTTAATTGGATATAGTGAAGATTAAGAAGGGAAATTACTTCCCACAAAGAAATATAATTACTAAAATGTCTCATAATACAAATTAAAGCACTAAAATTACTTCCCACAATCTAGCTAGTTGGTGGCCAAACAGATCGATCAGTCACCAAAGCGAACCACATGTATTTTTGGGTCAGTTATTTCGGTGTTCTATTTTGATTTGGTTTTATTTTTCTTAAATTTTGGTGTTTGTTTATTGAAAAAAAATTCAGTTTTAAACCAAAATATGAGTATACATAATAGTATGTATGTATACATAATAAGAATCTAAGCAAGCTAAAAGCTAATAGGCCAAGTATATTTCTAAACCCAGCCCAATATATCTAAACCCTAAAGCAAGACAACTTATCATTTTTCATTTTCTCCAACGTATACCACAGCCTCCTCCTCCCACCGGATGCTTGGCCTCTACCTCCCCACCGCACGACTTCAGAAACGCCATCTTTTTCTTGCCAATCTATCTCAAAGAGCATCATCAGCCTCAACTTGCTCTAACGCTCTCTCCTTCACACTCTGTTACTGGTTTTCTTTACTGTCACGGTGTTGACCTCCCCTCTCTCTACCCCCACATCAACGCTTTTGTTCTCTGCTCCTATGTGATGTCTATGCTTATTGCTTCATCTAAGCTTTTTCTTCTTTTCCTCACTGTTCAACATCAAACACAAGCACACACACTTGCTAAGTCGCCATTCATCTTTTATCTCTGTCTCATTTGCCAAGTCACCGTTTATGTTCAACATCAAACAAATACGTTTGAGACTTCATGGTAGTTCTAAACAGGAGAAAAACCAATATGCCTATTAAACTAACCGAAGCCGAACTGATGTCGGTTCTATTCTGTTATTGAGAGAAGATCGGTTCAGTTTGGTGTTTAAAAATATTTCAACTCGGTCATCGATTATTTCGGTTTCTAGATCAGACTGAACCGAATAACCGATTGCACAAGGAGTGTTGAGAGAGTACTTGTAGATACTAGCAAAGCATGTATACTTTTAAACATCAATACATATTCGAAACCGTTGAGATATATTCCATATAAAAGAAAGCAGATTTGAATAATACTAATAATTATGGTCAAAAGATTAATATTGATAATTGTAATTCATGTTTTGCCTCTTTTTTTTTTTGGGGCCTTTTATTTGGTTCTTGGGGTTGAATTTGCCACCCCAATATTCAATCCCAGAATTCTGGTTTCCTTTTGGCAAATAAAAAAATTCTTGTTGCCTGCTTTAGTTGAGCTATATTTTGGGGGTGTTTGGTTTCTCCCAAAGTGCTTTTTACGCAAACCTAAGATAAAACTCCTCTCACATATCTATTTTGTATACTGTAAAATTATTTTTAAAATCATAATTTGGTTTCTACCCAAACTTCCCTTTAGATTTGTGCTTTTTCTGCATATTTGTCTTTTAGTTATTTTCTGTGACTGTTTCTTCTTCTTTGGATAATTCTATACCATATTACTTAGATCCATCGTGAGGTCTCAAAGAGACGGACACTTGATTCATATATGAATATGAGTTGTATTGTTTGGTATTGTCTGTATTCTAGTGGGATGACGTGTTTGGTAGATAACTAAATACAAGACATATGAAATACAATATGACCCTGCTCGCAATAGCAAACAGACGCGTACTTTTTTTTTTTTTAAACAACTGAACCCTTCATTATATATAACTGTAAACATATGCCATTCGTATATATCCATACAAAAGACGCAAAGCAAATCATGAGAAAGAACATAAAAGTAATCGACAACACACCACACAAAGACATAAGCAGCCTAACAGCCGCCAAACATAACCATGAGAAATAACATATAAGTGTGTTTGGCTTCATGTTAAAAAGCACCAAAATCATGATTTTTGTGGTTTCTAACGTAAAACCAAGCACCTTCGTCGTTGTGCTTTAACTGAAAGCACTATATTTATTTATGTTATATATCCATTACATATAAAGCACAGACAGGAACTGCTTGAGATGAGCATGATGAGGAGGCAAGCAGGCATGTAATTATAGCTTTGCCTCAGCATTTGTAGTAGCAAAAGCAAGCACGCTTATGAGCACCATGGTAAGGATATTTGCAACTTCCCTGATAGGCTCCCTCTTTTAAGCACTTAGCATGACAGGGAAAATCGTGGCTGCAAACCCCATAATATGTTTTGCTTAGTTTCGGACAAACTTTCGCTTCTGCAACATTCTCTGCATAAAACACAAACACACACTCTGTCGTAAGAGACCATGCACATCCATTAACCCATATGGAAACAATCCACGCATCACTGTGTGAAGATGTATGTATAAATAACTCGAATTGGACTAGTAGGATGATGTGCACCAATACACGCGCGCGCGCGCGCGCTTCTCAATACCTACATGTGTCTGTGACTCTCTTGTAAAACAAAATTTCCCATAAAAAGTGATTTGGCGAGTTGGGTGAAAATATATATGCTTTCATACGATCGAAGTGTTCAAAATTAGCATTTACGTAGAGGTGAACAGTATTATTCGGCTGCTAATAACTTAAGTTAACTGATGTGAAGATTCTTAACCTTCTTCAAATGTGAGACAGAAAAAAGGTGGGTGTTTGGTGATGATTGGTATAAACTAACCGTTGGGAGAGAAAAGGACGAGGGCAATGCAGAGGAAGACAGTGAACTTGAAAAGAGAGGCAGCCATGTCTGGTAATAATAAGATTTATCAGTATCAGGTACAGATATACTGAATATAGAGGCTTGCCTTCAAGTTTTAGTTTGAAGGGGACGAAGACGATACATATGTATATATATAGAGAACGATGTTCTATAGGGTGACCTTCGACTTTTTATTCCTTTGGTTTCGACACATTTGACTGTTTATTGTCCTTAATTGCTTTCGTTTACTTTGGCATCTTCTAATAACAAAAATAGCTGAAAGTCGCCCTTATTAATTTTAGTAACTATCTTATATGTAATATGCCATATTATATTTGAGTATTGCCGGCTTTTACTGGGTATAACTTTGCTAGTATTTTTTTTATTTACAAGATTTGGACCATCGATTTTATTTAAGAGAAATTGAACGCTTTTACTTAATCCAACCATTAAAATTATGCTTCTTTGACTGTGTGTTTGTGTCTGGGATTTTGTTTAATACTACAGGCCTGTTTGGGTGCTCCAAAACCGTGGTTTCAGAAGCACTTTTTCGCAAAACGAGGTAACATCCTCCACATATTTGTTTCATAATCCGTAAAAGCACTTCTAAAACCATGGTTTGGTTTCTATCCAAACACTCCTGTACCTCCAATCCTTAATATAAGACCCTGTTTGACTTTTATTTTAGTTCTAAATATCAGACCCCAATCTACTTTATTTCTCATATTTATACTTTTTTTTTTCCAAAGTAGCCCTTCTAACAATGATAGTTTTAATCAATACACTTGATTAGCAAGGATATTTTAAGAAAGACAATACCTATTCAAGACAAATAACTAACTTAACTTACTTCCTTAATCTCCTCAAATTAGTCAACTGGCTTTTATAATTAGGATCGGAGGTAATATATAAGATAATGTTAATAAGAAGTGTCCTTTTTACTGTGCCAAAAGATAACTCAAGTTATGATAGTATTTGAATTAGCTTTTTAGAAACAATTTTATAAAGTCCGAGATAAATATATGAAAATAATTTCGACCTATGTGAAAATATTTTTTTAAGTGTCCCCTAACTAGCCGGTGGAGGTTTATGTATTGCCAGCCTCCAAACAAACATTTTTTCCCTGAAGCTAACTTGCCCTTAATTGTCGCTTTGGGGTTA